TTTTAGGAGAATTCTGGGTTTACCTGATGGGCTCAGTACTGGTTAGATTTATTAGGGGCAATGTGTGAGGATGGCAATAGGAGAAGCTCAGAGGAGTGAAAATTGTTTACCAGAGAAAATTTGGGAGTAAATCAGGGAAAGAAAAGCTGGTTGGAGAAGAGAGGAGGAGATGAGAAGGAAAGTAGAGAGCCTGTGATTCCTCTCAGAGAAACTTTGGGTGGCTGAGGGTAGAAGAGATACTGTGGGTGTCTTTAGGTAGACGAGAGACCACAAATGACAGCCATGGTGGTTAGAGTTGGAAGTACACAAAGGACATGCAAGTTATTGGGTGCGCAAAAAGCAATAAACTCCTTGATAGGTGTTTGAGAGTTTTCTGAAAAGACTTATATTTATTTTAAGGTGTTTGGAAGTAATTTTCTCACTGGGTTTGCTTCAGATAATGAGGCCATCTCACCCTTCCTGTAGTAGCTGGGGGGAGGAGTATGATTCTAGGGTTGCTAATGCAATGAAAGTTTATCCAGAGCACCCTCTAGCACTGGGGTGGGTTATGGATCTTGGCCAATAATCCTTTGATTTGAATCCATAACATGTGCCTTTTCTGTCCTGGCTGTTTCTATTTATGATGAGGGATACAGCCTGTGAGAACAGAGAAGGGGGAGTCAGGGGTGTAAGAGTCTATGGGGACCAGATGTGTGAGGAAAACTTTAGAGAGCCTCACTGAATCTTGGGACTTATCAATTAAAAATGTAGATTAAATAGTCTTCTCTTAGAATCACTCCATTCTCTGCTGGATTGAAATGTCTGTGTTTTAAAGTATACTTATATATGTTCTTTTTATTTTGTAAGGACAGACACCCTTACAGTAGAATCAACACTTTCACATTGGTGGGCTCATAATGTGATATGAACAAATGTTTGATCTGATCTTATGAAATTGGAAGAATAATTTCTAATGAACAGCTTGCTGTGGAAATGAGGTGAAGAGTGCACTTGGTCCACAGAAGTGCACACCATAGCTCTGGGTGCACTGTAGAGTCTCAGAAAGAACACCAACTCCCTTTCTCCTCTTCTTCTCCTCTGCTTGATTCCTCTTATTTGCTAATCTGTGTCAGTTGTCATATAGAAATGTAGAGTTTGCTGTCAGCTAATGTCTTAGTGAAGAACAAGTAAAGTTCCCTTTTCTCAAAATGTGACATGTCCACCCACTTCATGTGATCTGTTGGTATAAGCAAATCAACAGAGCTGGACATACTACTTTACCTGAATAAACCTCTGGGAGAATAGGGGTCCCATGTTGTTGGCAAATATTCAAGAAAGTATCCTATTCTTATTTTATAATCCTTTTTTAAAAATTATTTATTTCTTTTCAGCGTAACAGTATTCACTGTTTTTGCACCACACCCAGTGCTCCATGCAATCTGTGCCCTCCCTAATACCCACCACCTGGTTCCCTCAACCTTTCACCCCCCACTCCTTCAAAACCCTCAGGTTGTTTTTCAGAGTCCATAGTCTCTCATGGTTCACCTCCCCTTTCAATTTCCCTCAACTCCCTTCTCCTCTCCATCTCCCCTTGTCCTCCATGTTATTTGTTATGCTCTACAAATAAGTGATATTTTGTAATTGTTCTAATTTCGTTCTGGAGTCTGTCCTATTGGAAGTAACAGCTTTACCATGCAGACTTTTCAGGGTCTTATGAAGGTTGGAGGAGTTCATACTTTGCATCACTGAGGAACAGGGTCCCTGTATTCTTCTCTTGCTCATTTCAGGACCTCACTTTACAGAGGGTAGCTTGATATAGTCCTTAGGATAATTGGGTTTGAGGTTCCGTCTAGGTTTATGGAGAAATTGTTATTCCACCCCTGCCCCATTCATATCTCCAGTTCCTTAATCTTACTCACATCTGTAAAGTCCTCTCTGCCAAAACATATTCACAGTTTCTGGGGCCTAGGACACAGCCATATTTGGGGGCTGATCGTGTGTGGTGTATCCTTGCTTTTGATCTCTATAAGGAGAAGCAGATGACTAGACCCAAAGTTTTTGGGTTTCCCCTTACACACAGGGATATTTTTCCTTGCAATACTCCATGATAAATGGAAGCAAATTCATTACTTTCTTGCTTTGAACTTCTCTCTCTCCTTCCTTGAATCTTCTCCATTACCTCTTGATGGGGCAAGATTTCTCTGTTGCCATGTCCTGAGCTTTCCTCACCTATGGCTGAGAGTCATCCTCCAAGTGCAGCTCCACCCAGTTGTATTGCCCCTGCCGTGATTTTGAGTCAACCTGCAAGTTCAGTTTAGCCAGTTCTTTATAAATAAATGGAGGCCTCAGAAATTTTGGTCTCCTCAGTTCTTTCTCAAAAGAAAACTTAGTTTTCAGGACGGATGTGTGACTAGGGATTGAGAAATCTTACTTTGATAATGAAATTTGTGCAAAGAGCCTTCTTTTTAGGTCAGTACCCAGTCTCTCAGTGGTGTTAAGCTTTATGGCTTGGGTTTCGTGGGAACAGTGTAGCACGATGGCTGTGGGTGTATGAGAGAGAATGTGTGCATGTGTGTGTGTGTGTGTCAGAGAGGACAGAGAGAGAGACAGAGAGAGTGTGAGAGAGAGAGAATTAATGTGAGTGATAAATAAATTCACCAGGTGCATGCTTCCAAAACATTTTTCCCTATAACTCTCGGTGCAGTGTATTTCAGAGATAGGTACCAACACTGATCTGTACAGTCTCCTCAAGTCTCTGATTTGCTGTTCATATTTGTGCAATGTGGTTTTCTTGTAGATTGGCGGAAGGAGAAGTACCAGCCCTGTGAGTTACTTCTGTTGTTTGGGTGCTCCTACTGCTATCCCATGGCTTCTGACATCACCTTCAGCTTGCTGTGGTGATACAGATGCTGGCATCATCAATGGTGGTGGGGTGGGATGGGGCGGTGAAAGTCATGTAGCTGAGATTACTGGCTGTGGCTGATACTGGATATAAATGGGTATTCTTTAGTGTTGGAGTTCTGTCTGGCCCTCAATTGCCCTGTGACATGTCTAACCCCCAAATCAGTCTTATGCTTACTTCTTCCAGTTAGAGGTTGTGTGCTGGAGCCAAAAGGCTCTCATCTCATGAGGTTTAGCCCTCCCTGCATGCAGCTAGGTGTCTGGGGGTGGGGTGGTGGTTGTGTGCCTTATTATGTGGTAGGACAAGTCCTTGAATGATTGGTAACTGTCTCTGCAGTGACTGTCAGTCTGGATCCAGAGTCTGCCCATTCCAGCCTTGCTGTCTCTGATGACAAGACTAGTGTGACATTCAAGGACTTGCCCAAGCACTCAGATGATGGAGTCTATAGTGTCTTGGGTCATGAAGGCATCACATCAGAGTGCTGTTACTGGGAGGTGGAGATCAGGAATGCAGAAGGAAGTGAGTGGGCCCTGGGGGTCTGTAGGAGAGATGTGGAGAGGAAAGGCTGGTACCAGGAAAGCCCAGAAAAGGGGTTCTGGGTTGTGGCAATGTATGATAATAAATTCTATTCCCTCCCTGCTAATGGAGAACACATTGTGCCAGTTCCCCAAAGAGTAGGGGTTTTCCTGGACCTGAAGGAAGGGGATATCTCATTCTACAACATGACTAATGGTTCCCACCTTTTCTCCTTCCCTCTCGCTTCCTCCTCCGGGACTCTGTTTCCATACTTCAGGTTGAGGTCAGGAGATGTGTCCCTGACCATCTGCTCTGGAGTGGGTGGGCCTGTGCAGACCCCTGTTCTTCAGAGGTCAGACAACCCTCCTTGTTCTTCAGAGGAACCTGTGAGCCTCTCAGGGCAGGGGTTCAGTTCAGGCTGTTGTGTTGATGGTGATTTCCCAGGGGCTGAATCTCCATTACTCCCCTGTGGTCCTGAAGCTATGTCCCCATAATGCTCCAACACCAGATTCCTCATGGTGGCTCTTCCTGGAGCTGCAGAGTCCCAGGGGTGATAGCCTCTGAAGTTAGTCCTGAATGACTGGGTCTCTTGCCCTTCTTTTCTGGGCATAGACTGCTGGGGTGAGGTTATGAGAATAGTCGGTTCATGCCTTATGCTCAGGTATTAGAAGATAAATGTTGACTTTTTCAGCTGTAATGGGGTTGGCTGAATTTTGTTATTGGAAGTCATGTTTCTTTTGATCATGAACATTATTTCATGGAATCTTTGTATTGTTTTGATATGAAATGAGATGAGGTCTGAATTACTCTGAAGAATTAAATGGTGTTTATTTTATATGGTTTGAGTTGTGCAGATGAACCCAGAGACTACAGGTGGGTTACCTGCTCTATTTAGGAAATGTGCACTCTGACTAAAAAACATTGTCCATCTGAACATTTCTGAAGAAATGTATGGCTAATGGACTTGAAGAAGAGTGGAGTGTAATATTTTATTTTAAAGGCTTCCTATTGTGGAATGGATGAGACATACTTATCTTAACGAACCTTAGTAAATATTTTTTTTTTCTGAAATACTGGTGCTGCATTAATTCAGGGAATGGAAAAATGAGAGTATGGGTTTCCTTCTGAGTCAACGGCAGTTGGAAAGAACAAAACTGCTACCAGAATAAAGAGGTAAATGAAGATGAGTGTTTTCAGACCCTGGGTGAATTGCAGAAAGCTTTGACCATGAGCACAGTTCCAATATCTATGTATGGCTTCTCAGTACTTCTAGTCCAATTGTAAAGGTGGATGGAACCCACAGGAAACAGAAGGAAGCCAGACTGTTGAGGACTCAGACCTTGATGAATAAAGGTTTGTTGGCTCCTGAAGTAGAGAACACCGACCTGTTGTGGTTCTGGGTGAGAAGAGAAGACACAGAATTGGAAGTGGAAGAAGGAAGTCACAGATCTCAATTCCTGCCTGTGACCAAAAATAGGAAAAGGACTGGAGTCCCTTTGCATATTTTTCTATCTTGTCATGTAGATGTGTCATTTGTATTAATTATCTATTTTCCTTCTCCCTTCTTACCAGTGTGATTTTATGCAAGTTGTCCATGGTAATATTTCAAATGTAGTCTCTAGGTAACAGATTAGTCAAATGAGTGTGGCTGGACTTAAGGAGTAAATATAACTGATTCAATGCCTGAGACTGCCTGTTTATTCCATTTTGGGGAAAGAGTGAGAACTTTTTCACTTTTAAGTATAGCCCTGTAGATGGGTGAAAATGTGGAGTTGTTGTTTTGTTATATAGAAGTTCCAATGTGAGTAAATGGTTTATGTGGAAGTTGAGGAACTAAAAGTGTGAAAACTGCCCCTTATCAATTCATTGTCTTTTGATTCAAATCTACCCTGTATGTGCCCTACTTGTTGATACTGGATGTCATAAACGTTTCATTTTTGCCATGTGGCACATTTGGCACTGCCTTTGTCAGTGCAGTGTTGGGTTTGGCCAGCAAACCCTGAGATGGTGAATGAAAAGATTACTCCAGACACCTTCATAGGAGAAAGGAGAGGCCTGGGGACCAGACACTCTAGCGGCAAAAGGCCTCCAGCCAAACTTTGCCTCCATTTGCCTCCAGCCAAACATTTGCCTCCAGTTTCATTGGGGTCATTTCAATACAGCATGTGCAAGCACAAAGCAAGGAGGAAAGTGTAGCCTTAATGGTCAGGACAGTAATATATGGGACAGCGTGTGGAAAGAGCAAAGAGGCTAGGAGTTCGTGAAGTACATGAGCACCACATGTGCCTGTTTCCCCTTGAAATTTAAACATTTACTTCCTAGATGAGAGCCTTGAGCTGCAGTAAGAATGTGGCCACATTTAGCCAAGAAATTTCAATGGAGGCATAAATTTCTGGGCATTCCTCCTTTGTTTTTCAATTAGTCTCATCCAGGGAGGCATATGCAAATCAGATTTCATCTATGCAGACACTGAATTCCTACATAGCACCAGAGGGAACACAGCAAGACATAGCAGGAGAAAAACCTTTTTTCTTTTCGTGTTTTTTATTTTATTTTATTTTTTTAAAGATTTTATTTATTTACTTGTCAGAGAGAGAGAGAGAGAGAGAGAGCAAGCGCACACACAAGCAGGCATAGTGGCGGGCAGAGGCTAAGAGCGAAGTAGGCTCCCTGCGGAGCAAGGAGCCCGATGCGGGATTCGATCCCAGGACGCTGGGATCATGGCCTGAGCCGAAGGCAGTGGCTTAACCAACTGAGCCACCCAGGCGTCCCCCAGTTGTGTTTTTTAAAAATATTTTATTTATGTATTTGTCAGAGAGAGATTGAAGGAGCACAAGCAGGGAGAGTGGCAGGCAGAGAGAGAAGCAGACTCCCTGCTGAGCAGAGAACCCAAAGCAGGACTCCATTCCCAGACTCTGGGATCATGACCTGAGCTGAAAGAAGACATTTAACTGAGTGAGCCACCTAGGTGTCCCAATTTTGGTGTTGTTTCCCCCTTGGCCTTACAATGCTATTGAGAGTGGCCAGAGAAGACTTAGTTTCCCTTGCCTTTGGGTGAATGAGTATGGCATTGTAGCAGGTTCCCTGCCTCCCAGGGAATCTTGTCAGTTCTCTAGTGAGAGTTTTCCTACCCAACAGGCTTGGTCTGCAGCGTGTTGGTGAATTTCTTTCCTTCCTGGGGACTCTGGTCCCACCTTGTCCAATAAACAGAATGTCAGTCTTATTCTTTCAAATGTATTCCGTCTTTTGGATGTTCTACCTCAGCCCTAGATGTAAAGTCTGCTTCCTATATCTTCTACTTCTGGTTTCCATAGAGCTTCTTTTATCTCTTTCATAATTAAATACAACTTTCTTAATAATTCTTTATATCAGATTTTCCCTGTTAACATGAGTGATGTGGTTTCTGCCTCCTGACCGGACACTGCGTGATTCAAACATCTAAACTGAACTGTATGTTGGGGGAGGGCATTGCACTGCTCACAGGACGTGGGAAAGGGTAGTAGAGGAATTTTCAAATTTATCAAAATATTTATCCCAACAATAAAGTCATAAATATACTCCTTGGGATCTTTGTATATTTTTTAAAATACTCTATGTGTTAATATATTATCTGACATGTTCATCTCCTCTTACAGTCTACCTTGCGGCTTTATGACACTGGATTCCTTTTAGATGGGCTATGGGTATGTTTCCTTTGAAATGGAGAGGAAACAAAGGTATGGATGTGGTAGGAATTATCCACACAAAAAAGAGGAATCTTTTGAAACTAGTGGACCAGCTGCCCACGTAATTCCAGAAAGAATGGTTAAAACCATCATTCTTGGGAGGAGTGAGGTCAGCATTATGGCAGAATGAGTCCTTCCCTTTGTCTCCCCACATCTGTTTACAACTGGTAGGATTCCAAAACCCAACAAAGGTTCCTCTGGACAGCATACGAGACACCAAAGAGATCCATCCATGTTTACATCCGAGAGGGTGTGGATTGGTCTTCAGGGAGACCAAAGCCCAGGTAGCTTGGTGGGGCCTCTTACCCTGGCTTTACAGTGGTGGTAATGCTCACCTGTGACTCCTGCAGTCAAGAAGGTGGGGGTGGATAGGGGTGAGTGAAAGGCTACTTGTCCCTTTGGGCTATGACTGGAGGACCCCATAGCTGTGAAGCCACAGAGCAGGGTCCTCTGAGGTAGGACATCTGTGACCAGGAGGGGACAGTGGGGGAAAGGAAAAGGCAAGGGAAGGAAGGAGGCAGAGAAGAATAAACACTTATTCACTGTCTGCCCTGAGAGTTCAGCAAGAGAGCTCCCAGCTCCGTGGGACTCATGAACTTGAGGATCCTCCTCCTGGAGTGTGGGGCATGCCCCAAACCCAACATACTTAGTACATACTGGCCCCCCATAGAGTTGCCAGTCTCCTCCTTTTTTTTTTTTTTTTTTTTTTTTTATTCGAGCCTGGTCTATACAGCCACCAGGGCTACTCTGGTAAGAGAAAGCAAAACTTATGCTCTTCTGCCACCTGCTGTATTACTAAAGAAGGGCTTCTAACCTCCCACCCGTGAACTGTTAGAATCATAGTTAACAGATTTTTGCCTACATACAAAAGGTGTTGGCTACTTCAAACTATTTGGCAGAGGAAAATCTCATTAAAGAGCATGAAAAATCATGGTAATATGGTTTTGCTTAAAAGAAATGACAGTTCTCCAGCCACCATACATTTACAGAAGACTGTGATCTAACTAATAGAGAATTCAAAATAACGGCCAGAATGGAATTCAACAAGATACAAGAGAATCAGGCAATTCAATGAACTCAGTAATAAAATGAATGGATAGAAGGAGTACTTTACCCAAGAGACCGAATTTCTAAAGAAGCACCAAACAGAAATTCTGGAGCTGAACTCAGTAAATGAGCTGAAGAATTGCATTAGAAACATTGGAAATAGAGCAGATCAGGCGGAAGGGAGAATACATGGTCTGAAAGGTGGAATCTAGAAATGATTCAGGTGGAAGTGAAGAGAAGTAAGGTTTATTATTATTTTTTAAAGTGAAGAAACCCTGGGGTTCCTGGCTGCTTCAGATAGTGGAGTATCCAATTCTTGACCTTTGGGTTGTGACCCAAAGCCCTACGTTGCATGTAGGGATTAATTAAAAGGAAAACAAGCTTAGAAAATGAAGAAATCCTGCAAGAGCTACCAGTCTCCATTAGGAAAGCCAATTAAGAATAGTGGGTATATCAAAAGGAGAAGAGAAGGAGAAGAGGGGCAGAGCTGTTATTACAAAGTGTTGTCTGAGAACTTCCCAATCCTGGGGAAAGAACTGGACATAGAAGTCTGTGAATTTAATAGATAATCTTATTATCTCAATACAACAATATCACCTCCAAGACACTTTCCGATGACACTGTCAAATGTCAAAGATAAAGAAGGAATCTTGTAAGTATAAAAGAAAGTAACGTAAAACTGAGCCCCCAATCTTTTTTTTTTTAATTTTATTTTTTATAAA